AAACAAGTGTGATTCCATTTTCTGTCTTCCTTATTTCTTAGATAACATTTTAGGAAGAGATAAAGTTAGGGGGACAGAGGGTTTACTTAATGACCCTTTTTACTATAACTTTTTTTTTAACTGGAGACGGTTTAACATGTACTGTTGTGAAAACTGCATTGCTATGGCAACCTGCTGAAAAAAAGAATCACTGTAGGCTCATCACATAAGTATTGACATGTAAGCACTCACATGAGGTTTTTCTTGAAAGTCAAAAACATCTCCAGATTTTCTATTTTATATATATATGATTTAGGCATAGGCTTGGTATAAATAATCTCCTTTCTTGAATATTTACATTCTCATCTAACTATAACTGCCTTAACCCTGCATGAACTCGAGCTATGCAAGTGACGTGCATTTTAATGGAGCAACATACACTGAACTTGTTGAAATGAAATGAACCTTTTATGTTTTTTTCCCACACATAACTGCTGTAAACTAGTATATATACCATACCATTTTTAAAGTAATTTTCATTATTTTTTCCGATATGGTTATAATTCTCAAATACCAATTTACATGTCAAATATATCTAAATGTTAAATGTTCACATAAATGTTAAATACCAAGAGCCTGATTAATGAGCACTCAAAAATATAGAAATGTTAAATGCTGAATCACTGTACGTTAACTAAAAGAATGACTAACAACTCACATTAGACTGTATGCCACTTATTTTGAGTTAATTTTACATCAGATCAGTAATTTTCTTGTTCTGACACAAGCCTTTGCACTCATTTTACTGTCATGATAGCATTACTTGTCCAATAGCTAGAGAGCGTCATCTAGAATATATTTGTAATACCTTGGTTCAACTGAGCAATGCCGTGGTGATTTGTTTGTAAGAAAAAGTGCAGAGAGTAAATATGCATGTATAAAACACCTTTTCAGATTGGAAGCTATACCATATTTAAAACAAAAAATGCATAAATGCTTTTGCAATCAATAATTCAAAGTAAAGGAGTACTTTAAAATCACCACATTCAAAATAAAAGTAGATACAAATCTATTTTAATAACATTCAGGTGTAACACAGAACCAGTAGGAGAGAACACTGGGCACCCAGGTCTTGGTAAGTGCTTTGTTAGATGACTGAATTCAAAGACAGATCTGGAAAGGAACTGAGGCACTGTAACGCTGCAGTGTCGCACTGCGAAGCACCCGGCATCCCCGAACAACAACCAGGGCCTGTTTTAGATGCTTAAACTTTTCTATACCATAAAAGGGAGAGCTAATTGTTCTAGGTGTGAACCAGTTTAAGGGCAGAACACAGCATTTTCCAGTAGGAAATTCTCCAAACGGTACATTTGCTAGATCATTTCCCTTCTAAGTTTACACAGCTTCCCTGCAGCCCAAGGCCAAGGGAAAGATTCATCTCCTTGGAGGATCCACAGGAGTTTGATCTCACCCAAAAATCAACAAGATTTGCATTTGCTAAAAGGAGGAACAGCTGTAACTGTTGTTGTTGTCCTTACAGTTCCACGCAATGTTTAAGAAAAGAGAAATAAAAACAAACTGAGGTTTGAATTTGTACAAATTGTACAATTTCTGTGCCAGATCTGGCTGAGAGATGAAGAAGAAAAAAAGCCTGCTGGGAACGGCGGAGGATGGTGAGTTAGTAATTATGTCCCTTGGTACTTGTTTTGTTTACTAATCAAAGATCTAATTGCTTTGCTCTATTTTAATTAACAATGTTCTTATTTTAATTAGTTACTTTTCCTTTATACATTGGCATTGGGAGAAACGACTGAGGATATGAATAACGTGATTAAGAGTTTAAAGTTAAGCTTCTAAACATGTTTTAACAATTTCACAAGTGTTTAATAATGAAAAATAAAGCTGTTCTTCACAAATGTGGCTACTACTTCTCCAAGGATTTCATCCTAGAAAAAAAAAAATTCTTTTAAAATAAAACGTCAAGTGATATCAAATATAATTAACACAGGCACGAAAGGAGCGAATATAGGAATATGAAAGGTTTGATAGTATTTAGATATGCTAAAATGTTCAAGCTGGCCTAATCTTTTGAAATGTCCCAATGCGACAGCCATTTTCTTAAGAACCAGTCTCAACATTATTAGCAATTATCTTTGAAACTTGGGGAACTTTATCTTCTTCCCTAACAGAGGCTGGGGAAAAGCAAACAGTGCCCTATGAAAGAACTGGAGACCTCATACAGATTGTTCCAATTCCTGGGAAGATATCAGGAGAAATAACCTTTACCTAAGTACTTTAATTAACACGGACATATGTAGCAACCGTTATCTTTTCCCTATGAACTGTTTTTGACAAATATGTTTACTTCTGCTGTGGGGCTGGTAACAGGCTTGGTATATAGGGAGAACTATAAATCCTGAAGTTTTGGATATAGCCCTGCCCAATATTCCTGTGTGCAACCTAAGTAGGGTTGGTCTATATGAAACTAATAGTAGTATGATGCACAGCTGGTTAGAAAACCACACACAGTAGTTAGTAGTTCGTTGTCAAAGTGGCAATTACCAATTGGATTCTGCAGAGGCCTGTTCTGAGTGTGCTTACTCTAAGTCATAAATGAAACAGAAAGTATGTTCATTAAACTTGAGGAAAACAGTAAAATGGAAATGTCTGAAAAACACGGCAGTAGATCGTTACAATTTGTTTTGAAAAGATCAGGATGTAACTAAATAAGGACAAATGTGAAGTGCTACATTTGGTAGGAATAATCAACTGTTCAAATACAGAATGCAATAACACAAATATAGGAACAATTGGCAGCTTTTTCAGAGAAGGATGAGGGAACTTCAGTGGAAGAGGTACAATATGAGTCAATATTACCATGCTGCTTCCCAAACAGCAATCACAATGGGATATAGAAAAAGGAGCTGCGAAGTAATCCTGTCTTTTCCAACCCAAATAAATGGTTACCTAGAATACTATGACCAGGTTTGATTGGGGATAAAGGTTAACTGAAGATTCTGGAGAGCAACAAAAATTACAAGAGATGTACAGAAAATGTGACTGACAAAAAAAACCCTGAGGGAATCTGATCATTAAGTCTAAAGATGCCTTAGGAAGACACAGTGATGTATTCTCAGGAGTATAGAAAGTAACCAAGGAAATGAGCTATTCACCATTCTGCTATGTACAGGACAAGAAGTAAGTGTTCCTTGCTACAACTAATATCTGCTAAGTTAGACAGTTAGTAAAGCACGGCTAAAGGACTACAGTGGATTCTCCAGGGAAGCCTAAGAAAAAAGTAGATATTTATCAGAATATCATATATATAATTCCATCTTTAGGTGGCAGATTAGGGTAATTCCTGAGAGCTTTGCCAACCCAGTATTCTGATTGCTAATCTCATACTTCTTTAATGCCACAGCATAAAGTATTTCAGGCAGAATACTGTAGTAGAATAACTACCACTGAATTACCTCTGGGAAGAGACAAATAGTAAGTATTGCACAGCTGTAGCAGGGAGAAGAAACAAAGGGAAACTCAATCCTTGCAAGAAGATTTGCATTGATTTTAACCTTGCTTTGTTTTGGTGCACTTCTGTCAGCTGAGTGCAACTCCAGCATCTTTCTCTTCTTCAGTAAAAGGTCATACTGCAGTTACCAACCAAACAAAAGCTGGTATTTCAGTGCCTAAATGCTACTGTCCTAGCACAGCAGCCGAAGAATGTTATAGACGCAATTATCAGAAGCTAAGAAAGTATCTCAGGATTGGGTTTCCTAGAAAATCATAATTAGCTATTCAAGCCATACTTGGGAAACATTTATTTGTAAAAAGGATGCATTTTGCTTAAGTTGCAGACAACTTCAAGTATACTGCAAAAGCTGCCTAATGTAAAAACCTGACATGCTCAATTACAGCACAGTTCATAGGAATTTTTTGTCACACTCACATCCAATAGTGAATAGAGGGGAGGAAGCACAAAGTGCAAACACCCAGAACAACAGTGTTTTTCTTCATCTTATTCCAGACTAGCACTAGGGCATGTGATTCTGAGAGACACTGAATGCTTTCAGCTCACACCTGTTACTTGGAGAAGATCAGCTGTTTAAGGACCGGTAACTTGTTCACCTGCAAACTACATCTCAGATCCAGCCTAAGTCGACTGTGTTTTTAAAAACTTAACATTTGGTATAAGATCACGACCACTATGAATAAGCTTCTAGTTCACCAGCAATGAGGAAACAAGGATCCACAGCACAAAGAACACCATCTATCTGACACTGCCAGGGTGACTGGTGAAGGTTCAACCACAGCTAGGCGTTTTAGTCCTCATGAATACTCAGCTCCACTTTTCTCTCCTGAAGATGACTCCCTCTAGAAGCTGACTGAGTGATGCTCACAAGATGCTGAGGAACAAAGTTCAGTACTGTTTTCCATAGCCTACAGGATTTCCTTGTGAGAAATGTTAAACTGAGCAAGAGTAATAAGCTCATTAAACCTCCCTTTTCCCTCCACAAGCCCAAACAAAACAAAACACGATTGCGAAAGCACTTCCCATCTTTTATGTATTTATTGTGCATTTCATAAGTGTTTAAAGATACCACACAAGACTGTATGCATTATATTGTCCATATGTTGTATGTCACACAGTAAGGGACAGGCACACCCCTAAAAGTTTTAATCTTCTATTTCAAACAGACAAAAATTAGATCAAATAGTACTATCTCATTATACAGAAGGCAAACCACAGGAAGTGTCTTAGATCACATGAAACAAAGGCAGAAAACGAAACAGATCTTCCAAAACTGCATATTAAGTCTATCAAAAATACTATGTGCTTTTGGCAACTGAGATTATAATTTATACTAATCTAGTTAGGGCTTGTCAACTTAAAAAATATTATTTAAAAATAAAGTTTAACAAGTTCCCAAGTCAGAAGAAATTGAAGTGTGAAATTCAAACAAATAACAGGTACAAAGGGAATAAACAAAAACCTTTTTCTTCCGTCAGTATAAAATAATTGCCAGACCAGTTTGTCATAGATTACTCTTCTTTCTTTCATATAAGGATGCATATAAATTCATGAAGTTATTCTCAGAGGATGAAATTAAATTGTCAAGATCATAATCAACTTCAAAGGTAGGTCTCTTTCCAAAAATTACAAGAGCAAGAAATACAGCAAACTGCGCAGTAAGGCCCCATATCTTGAATGACATTTTATGTTCAGGGTCGTCATATGTAAAGCAGTGCATCCAACTTGAGTAACCAGACCAGGTTGTATAAGGCAAGGGCTTGTACGTTACGGGCTCAACAAAGTAGTCCAATGGCACGACGAAAACATCGCTCACTTCATCTGGATTAGGAGTGGCCTGGAATGTATCTTCTATAAATCCTACAACTGGTGTTACCAAGTGATTCATCTAAAAGGAAAAACAACAACAAAACCCGAACACTAGGTTTTACCAAGGAAAAGAATGTTATTTTGAAAACATTTCAGATATCAGTTACAAAAAGAGTAGAAGAAATCTATGAAATATTCTTTACTGTAATGCAGTTTAGTCCCTCTAATGGCAAGATACTTATATTCGATTTTGAATATATTTTAAATATATTTTAAATTTTCTTTTTATATATGTTAAACATTATTTTACTAATATCCTCTTCATCCTGTATAATCATGTAGCAGTTAAAAAGGTTTGTCAGTCTGCTACAGAAATAAAAAGCATGTATAATACCATGCTTACGTACTTTGGTGAGTTCTGATTTTAATTCGTATTTTCCAAATCACTTATGCTTTATCATTTCTCTGTATCTATTTCCCTAGGATATAGAAATATTTTCCTATAGATAAAGAAATATGATAAAAGTATATTTAGCTATAAAATATATACAGTTTTTGGAACTGCTCATTTATGGACATTTTTACTTTAAATATAATCCCTTCTTCCACAGGGAGGCAAAATCTATTGAAATAGTAGCTTGTATATAGAGGACACCAAATTTTTTGAGATATGTTCCTAGTTCTATTTATTCATACCAACAAAGCATCAACAGAAAGCAGTAACAGCAAAACTCAACATTTCTGCTATCTGAGGCAAGTCTGGAGAGACTCCATCCACATCAGGATCACTTGGAATGTGCGTACAGAGATGGCAAAGTAGAATCTGACAGGTAAAATTTTTGTGGTCCAAAACTACATGACTGAGGCAATGTGCTGGAAAACACTGAAAAGTGTTATAAAAACTAAATTGATCCTTTTTACATATAGCCTCTGAACTATGCGGCTTTAATGATATCTGTAAAGAAATTATAATTTAAGAAGTTAAATAGAGCATTTTGGAATACAATTTTAAAACTAGTTCTTTGGTTTCTTAAGGGAGAGAGGATATTGCCAACAATATTGCCATGTCTAAAAGATACTAAAACAAACTGTAGGCATATTAATAAAGAGAAACTGTTACTTGAAGAACAAAAATAAAGTATTTTGAAACAGTAACCCCTCTGTACTATGGGAAAACTGATCCTGTAACACTAAATATTGTTATTGACATTGGCAGCCTGTTAATTTACGAACAGTGACTTACACTACATGGACACCTCCAGAATAGAAGCCTCCTTGCTAGAGTTCCATACAGAATCACAGCCCACGTAACCTCCTGAGGTCCCTTTCTGCCTGAATTAACCCTGCTTTCTGCAGCATATTGAATGAGAAAACTTTTGAGGTTACATCAGGCTGCTGAGGGACTTGTCTGGATGAGTTCTGTGTATCTCCAAGGATGGAGATGATGCAGCCTGTCAGGAAAATCTGTTCCAGTGTTTTGCTAGCCTTGTGGTAGAGAGTATTTTCCTTGCATCTCATCAAAATTTCATTTGTTGCTGCATGTGTCCATTGTCTCAAGAAGAGTCTGGTATCATCTTTATAACCACCCAGAAGGTACCTGAAGAGAGCAACCAGATCCCCTGCTAGCTTCCTCTTCTTCAGGCTGAGCAAACCCACTTTGCTCAGCCTCTCCTCATAATCCATGTGCTCCAGCCCCCTCACTATCTTCCTGGCTCTCCGCTAAACTCTTGCCAGCGTAGCACTGTCTTTCTGGTACTCCCATGTGTCCGTAACTGGACATGGTACACCAAACATGGTCTCACAAATACCAAATACAGAGCAAGAATCTCTTCCCCTCACTCTGCTGGCAACACAGGCTGCACACTTTAAGAAGCCGTGGTTATTTACAGTTACAGGTTTGCAAAGGTCATTATCAACCTTAAAAATGAAAATAACCCAAGCTTATTTTCTAATGATATGCTGATTTAGTCAGTTTATTGCTTACTTTATCAATTCCAGGCACAAGTCTACAGATGACTTCCACCTTCTCTGGCTGAAGTCCCACTTCTTCTTTAGCTTCTCGGAGAGCAGTATCAATTTCATCTTTATCAATTGCTTCACTTTTGCCTCCTGGAAAACACACTTCCCCTGGTGAACTTCTCAGCTAGAATTTAAAGGAGTACTTCTGTTAAATATAACAAGTTTTACATTTCTTCCTGGATGTACACAGACACTTGTTCATATTGCAGAACCACTTTATGTTTGATTTATCTTTCCAGTCAAAGCAGCAGGAAATGGTGGTTAAGAGGTTCCTGCGGATCAGAAGAAATGTGCCTTATCAAGAGCTACACAAGTTGGGCCTGTACCCAACTAATCTATAGATCCTCACTACCAGAAATACACACATCACTGGTACAGTATGGTGTACTTCATACTACACATTCTGCTTTAGTACTTCAAAAATTACATTTTTCATCATCTTGCTTACATAAGAGACTGACAGATGAATCTAGGAAACAAATAGTGAGATTAAAATACTCAATTGAAGAGCAAGAACTTCTAAAATACACATTTGAATAATGTCTCTTTAAGTATATTATAGTAATGGGCTTGTGCATCAAAGATCAGTGAAAAGCCCATTTATAATTGGTTTATCAGCTAAGTAACTGTAATTATTCAGGTCTCAAAATTTCTAAGCAAGACCCCAGCAAACTTGTATTTTTAAGCAACAGAAAAACAGACAAGTAAATACTCTCTGAATACAGGCAGTTGATTACAACGGGGAGGGGGAGGGGATGGAAAACAAGAGTTGTAAAAGAAAACGCTGGTAGAAGGGTTCTGGGGGACTTAGGTTGTTGCCTTTCCTTTCACATGAGAGAGGAGTAATGTTAAATGCAGACTGAAAAGTCACAGTAATAAAAACTGCACTGTATTGTCAATTTTCTTATTTAAGTCATAGTAAACAATCAAAACTCCCTTTTCTAATCTGGAAATCATCTTCTACTGTCAGAGGCTTCTGGGTATCCGGCCCTTTTCTAACATGTAAATACCAGAATCACCGGTGTATGCAGGTATCTGCTGTAACCTCAGCACGCTGCCTGGGCTGCAGTGCGAGCAGGAGCA